ATCCCTCCCGTTGGTTGATACGATACGATACGAACGATTACGACTAAACGACGACTTCTACACGCACTCCTTCTTCGAGACCATTCCGACCCCGTCCGAACCCCTACGTTTAAGATATTTTTTTCTTTTTTTTTTGCTGAAGTTGGTAAGGGGTGTAAGGTACCAAATTTTAAGGGGGGTAAAAACGTACTACGAATAAATGAACACCAGAACTTACCCGATTTTTAACCACAATATCCTACTCCGAGGCCTATGTGTTGGCCATAGCTTGGGCTATGGGCCAAAGAACGTAGGCCTATTTTTATTCGCAGTGAAGTAAACAAACACATCCACAACTACATATTTTTATTCTTAATAGCACTTCGTTTCACATAATAAAGTTAAACCGGCCGATTTTACAGACATTTAACGCCGCCGACGACATAACCCCAAACTGGTGTTTATTTGTTGACAGACGACAGACGAAACTAGACCAGCTCAACAAGTGAATTCGATCAGCTGTTGTCTAGTAGTACTTGAGTTCGCCGCTTGAGCGCGTAAGCCTCGAGCGGGCAGGAACGAAGGATTTTACTCAAAGACAGGATTATTCGTTCGTACGCCGTCTTCGAAGTAACTTCGTCGTTACATTCGCCTGTTATCAACGCTTGCACGATCATCGATAATTTGTTTACCGAAGGTTAGCTATATTAGATAATCACATTACTACGATTTACGTTTAAATTTCCGTTTAACATTCGTATTCCCGTTTCCAAATTCGATTTTCAATAACTAAATTTAATAACGTAAATTTCGCCGACTTGATTCTCGACCCGCCAGTTCCTGCTTGCCAGTGACTAGCGGTGATTATCGTTTGGTTTGATTTAAACCAATTAGTTTCAAAATTACGATTTCTACGAATGATTAACGTAGGCCTACGTTTATTCTAATTAGTTCGCCGTTTTAATACCCCGAGACTCGTCGTCTGAGTTCTAAACCCCGTCTTTGGCGGGTGAAAGAATCGAGTCTTGGGAGCAGGCTGAGTTGAATAATCAGCTACAAAAATTAGTATTAAATTTATTTTAAACCACTCACGTTAAATTATCCGTCCAATTATATTAATTAGGCCCCGACGACTCTGTAGGAATTGCTTTTTACATTAGATTCGATTTTATTATCCACCACCGTCTTTAGCCAGATAGTTTACAGTTTAATACGAGTATTTATATCACATTGGCTTAAGATTGAATACTCGTCGGCCCTACAGAGTCATTCTAAAAGTTAGGCAAAATTCTCCAAAACACGTTAGCGAAGGTGAGGATGAAATAGCTCCTACTGAGCGTCTGCAGGATTTCCTGAGCGCTTCTAGAGCTCTGAGCCTTCGATTAAATTTAACTAAATTGATCAGTCAAAGCCGTGACAACTTCGTATCGACCCCTGGATTTTTTCTCGGCTCCTTCTGAGCGCTCCGGGGAAGAAATTTGAGTGTGGCCGGTTCTAGGGGTAGGCCTAGCCTGACTTAGGTGAATACTAGTTTATTCCCCCCCTAGAATTTTGCGTCACATCTCTGGCGCCCGAACATTTGGACTCGATAACACGGTTTTGACTTTGATATTTAAACGAAATTACGAGATAAACGAAATCTACGACGACTTCGACTACTACGACGACCATTACTCGACCCGAACGTTATCGATTAGCCACGTAACGATAGACACGGTGGAAATTCAAACGTCGACGACTACAACTACGACGAAATTTCCGAAATAATGACTTCGACTATGGAGAGCTTACCGAGATCGCCGATAGACGACCCGCGCGTCGGTTGGATCCACACTTTGAGCGGACGATAATAGCTGAGACGACGAAGTATTAGCTGGGAACTGGGAGTAGCGTCGCCGAGCTTCGCAAACGCTGTTGCGAGTCTTTGGAAAACCCGTTGGGAAGCATCGGTCAGCCGATGAACCCGACGGTGACTACGATATCGTGGACTACCGCTTATGCGGCCCATGATAGCCGAATTTGACCGCAGTTGCTGAAACCTCCAACGCGCCAGGAGACGGCCAGCATGCGAGATATATTCGGGACTCCCACCGAACATTCTTCACCCGTTCGACGAACCCTCGAAGTGTTGTTAAAGCTGCCAGCCAACATCCCGTCGCCCTGGCAAGATATTCCGTCGCGCATCACGTTTTTCGGTCCAACGACGGAACACGATCACCACATAACGTTCGATAGACACAATGATTTACCCGACGCCGTACGACCTCCGAGTGGAGCCGTTTGCTCCATTTCATAACACAATTCACGGGAACCGTCAGCCGCGAACGCGCCCCCAGAGATTACCGACCCTTCGTCAACGTGGTCATCTCAGGTGAGACGTTCAGCGCCCTCGTCGATACCGGCTCGTCAGTCAGTCTGATTGGAGATCGTACGTCACTTTCGGACGTGCGTCGTCGTACCCGACCAGACTGACGTCAACCAACGAATGGACAACGCAGCGTGTGTTTCGGATCGATACCGAGTAGACGACGATTGCTGGCCAACCTTATTCGCGGGATATCCACGTCCCGGGCCTAAGTGTGGAGGTGGTACTCGGCATTCGGTGTACTGCTGACCTCGCTCTAGTCAGAGTACACACCGTAGTACGAAACCTCCACAACGACGATGTCTCCCCGCCCTTTCCGGTCAAAAACATCAACCACGAAATCAAAAATTTTCAAAATTACACGGAAAACAAACACGAAATTCGCAGAATTTCTGGAACACGAAATACCGCTGTTTGACAACGATTAGGGGTAGTCGGCGTTGACTGAGCAGACGCAGTGGCTCAGGGCAATTGCAACCCCTGTCAAACAGAGGTATCCCAGAAATCCTGAAACGCAATTTATCGTAAAGGACGCTTTCCCGAGGCAACCCGTGGCAAACGGGGGCCAAACGGACCTGGCCACGGTGAGTCACCTCACATCGGAGGTGGCCGACGTGCCTCGTGAACGTTCCAACGTACTAATTCGCCGAGACCGGAAAGACGACGCATCGAGGCTACCGCGACGAACGACGGCCAATCGGGCCTTGTCGTGGTGAGTCACCTCACATCGGAGGTGGCCGACGTGCCTCGTGGACGACGCCCGACACGACGTAGATTCTTCAAAACCGAAGAGCCGACCGAACAACGCAACGAACTCCGACGCACGCCCCGACGGAGCTGGTGTGGTGATATCCCTCCCGTTGGTTGATACGATACGATACGAACGATTACGACTAAACGACGACTTCTACACGCACTCCTTCTTCGAGACCATTCCGACCCCGTCCGAACCCCTACGTTTAAGATATTTTTTTCTTTTTTTTTTGCTGAAGTTGGTAAGGGGTGTAAGGTACCAAATTTTAAGGGGGGTAAAAACGTACTACGAATAAATGAACACCAGAACTTACCCGATTTTTAACCACAATATCCTACTCCGAGGCCTATGTGTTGGCCATAGCTTGGGCTATGGGCCAAAGAACGTAGGCCTATTTTTATTCGCAGTGAAGTAAACAAACACATCCACAACTACATATTTTTATTCTTAATAGCACTTCGTTTCACATAATAAAGTTAAACCGGCCGATTTTACAGACATTTAACGCCGCCGACGACATAACCCCAAACTGGTGTTTATTTGTTGACAGACGACAGACGAAACTAGACCAGCTCAACAAGTGAATTCGATCAGCTGTTGTCTAGTAGTACTTGAGTTCGCCGCTTGAGCGCGTAAGCCTCGAGCGGGCAGGAACGAAGGATTTTACTCAAAGACAGGATTATTCGTTCGTACGCCGTCTTCGAAGTAACTTCGTCGTTACATTCGCCTGTTATCAACGCTTGCACGATCATCGATAATTTGTTTACCGAAGGTTAGCTATATTAGATAATCACATTACTACGATTTACGTTTAAATTTCCGTTTAACATTCGTATTCCCGTTTCCAAATTCGATTTTCAATAACTAAATTTAATAACGTAAATTTCGCCGACTTGATTCTCGACCCGCCAGTTCCTGCTTGCCAGTGACTAGCGGTGATTATCGTTTGGTTTGATTTAAACCAATTAGTTTCAAAATTACGATTTCTACGAATGATTAACGTAGGCCTACGTTTATTCTAATTAGTTCGCCGTTTTAATACCCCGAGACTCGTCGTCTGAGTTCTAAACCCCGTCTTTGGCGGGTGAAAGAATCGAGTCTTGGGAGCAGGCTGAGTTGAATAATCAGCTACAAAAATTAGTATTAAATTTATTTTAAACCACTCACGTTAAATTATCCGTCCAATTATATTAATTAGGCCCCGACGACTCTGTAGGAATTGCTTTTTACATTAGATTCGATTTTATTATCCACCACCGTCTTTAGCCAGATAGTTTACAGTTTAATACGAGTATTTATATCACATTGGCTTAAGATTGAATACTCGTCGGCCCTACAGAGTCATTCTAAAAGTTAGGCAAAATTCTCCAAAACACGTTAGCGAAGGTGAGGATGAAATAGCTCCTACTGAGCGTCTGCAGGATTTCCTGAGCGCTTCTAGAGCTCTGAGCCTTCGATTAAATTTAACTAAATTGATCAGTCAAAGCCGTGACAACTTCGTATCGACCCCTGGATTTTTTCTCGGCTCCTTCTGAGCGCTCCGGGGAAGAAATTTGAGTGTGGCCGGTTCTAGGGGTAGGCCTAGCCTGACTTAGGTGAATACTAGTTTATTCCCCCCCTAGAATTTTGCGTCACAGAATCCTTAACCATATACATTATTGAACCGGTAACCATATACGTTATTGAATCAGTATCCACATACGTTATTGAAATCAAAATAAGGTATTTGGATACGGATTCAATGACATATATGGATACTGATTCCCTCGTGAATCAAATCGTAATTTTGATCACCACTGAATCGAATTGCATTGAATTGGAATTTCGATGCATCGCACGCCCCTATTGACAAGTTGGGAGAAACTATATGTCATATTGCTAATAGTTTATTTTCCCTTGCAGTACGTCCACGACGGCAGTGAGACCACAGAGGAGGTGTTCAGTGTTGTAGCCAAAGCCGGAGACAAGGAGAGTCATCCTGCAAGAGTCAAAGTGATCATATCTCTAGTCAATGATCAGGTAAGGGGACAGAGCTTTGCTTTGGAGAGTCACAAGTGATGGTTTTAGGTAATTGAGAAAACCAGGTTTCATTGAAGAAATTACAAAATGGAAAAATTACTTTGCCACCTTTACTGTGTAAATGTGATCGATGGTTATTACCATTTAATTGACGAATATATTGATAGTAATTAAATAGTATTTTCCACACAATGTAAATGAGGTTTGCAGGCTCAAAGTTTAAAGTTTGAGAGCTTGTACAATGTTTTGTCCAAGGAGCAGACACTATTTTCCACTGATTCAACTCAAAGTGGCAAAATTTAACCCTTGTTACTAAATTATAGTAGCATGTTGAATTAATTTTGCACTTTACTCCACACACTCAAAATTTACATATATGTCTTGAATTTTTCTCAACAATCCTTTTATATTTGCACTTTTGTTATATTTGTGTCTGCTGTCATGGCATTTTGTTGTGGTGCTTTTGTGCACATTCGAGTAACAATGAGTGTTAAGAATTCTATTGATTGAAAATATATTTTGCCTTTAGTTTGTCTCCAAGACATAATATGTTTTGACATTTAAATATTTTTGCCTTTGGACTGGCCCTAACACATATTTTGGGTTTTTAGAATATTAACATGCGCTTGATTATTGTTCGTTTTGTTATATGGTTTGTATTCTTGTTCGAAATTAAAACTGAGGGGCTCAATTACTTTGCTTTTAATTAATTTTAGTGTTTTTTTCCTCAAAATATTAATAAAGTCTATAACTGTTCTTAATAACTCTAAATTTCAAATCTCAAGACACCTCAAAATTAATAATAAGAAAAAAAATTGCAGCACTTTATTTAAAGGTAAACTCTCTTCCCACAAACATTGTAATGAGTGAGAAAATTCATGTAAATAGTTAACTCTTAGTACTGTAGAGGTTTTATGGAATAACATACACATACACTACTATTTACTTCAGTAATTCCATTATCTATTTTATTAACCTCTACCACCATTTCCGTTACCCAGGATTTGATCATAAATTACCTCCATAATTCGTATTGCTCAAACTATGCTGTATTCAAAACTCTAAAATATAATTGTTCCATATATTTTTATCAAGGAGTGTCATCTTTTTTGTATCAATCTTGCTGTTAGTTATCTGGAAAATGTGTTATTTTTGGCACTAACTAGATTACTCTTGACAGGTGCCATTGGTGATCAACAACACAGTGCTGAGGTTGTGGCGAGGCGGATCACAGACCATCACATCTGCACATCTAGGTAAGTAATTTTAAAAAATGTTAAGAGGTTGGCGTTCTTTTTCATTTCTGTTTTTTCATCCACGTTTAAACTGATGGCCGTACGTGAAAGGTACGTAGAAGAGTTGAGCCGGTAGAGTATAAGATAAATTTTAGAGAACTGTAGTGATAAATTATTAGTGACGGCACTGGGACCCACAAAATTGCTCCCTTGGAATAAGTCCATTGCCCTACTCGTTGAGCCACCAACTCACAAAACAGAAATAAATCTGTTGAAAAATTATGGCACGAAAATACTTTACCTTCTAAGCTAGCTTAGATCTGTAAATAGTTTCAATTGATTGAAGTAGGCAGTGTGAAATGTAATCAGAATCCTTAGTCATATGTAGCAAAAAAGATTGATCAGATCACCTACCAAATCTGAGGATAGGGAGAGTGAAGTGGTTGTCTTTGTGATGTTATATTATCAGTGGGTAAATCCTGAAAATATTTGATTTAAAATGGTAGTTCTAAAGACTGAGAGAAATTAAAATTGGCCACGTAATTGAGGAATTTTAACTTTTGCACTGTTACTCAGTCCCGGATTTAAGGTAGCCTCAGGCCCGTAATGAAAATTCCCATTGTAAAAAGTGAACATCTCTCTTGATCATGGAGACATAATCATCATCACCCAAGGTCGCAAAAAAATATTAATTTTAGGAAAAAGTCCATTTTAGTTCTAAAAGAGTGTATTTTTTTTACAAAATGCTGCATCCCCCTTTTGCTTGCAGTGGTAAATCTGGCAAAAAAAATGACTATAAAGAACAAACCAACAACCAATTTTGATTTCTTTATTGAAGCTAAAATAATGTTGACACTATACAAGTAATTATACTCAGATTATGTGTATATTTAATGAGGTTATGTATGGCCAGGTGCTGAAGACCGGGACTCGCCGCCAGAGAACATAACGTTCGCCATACTGTCGGCCACAGCTGGCCACATTGCGCTGGCTGCCTCGCCTCACTCCCCCATCGACAAGTTCACTCAGGCTCAAATCAACAATCTCCAACTGGTATTTGTACATTCTGGTAGGTTGCTCTTTGAGAAGCGTATACCTCGAGATGTGTGTCAGAATTGTTGTAATTAATACAAGTTTGCAAGTCTGGTATTTGATGTGGTCAATGAATACAAACAAACCTTATAAGAAACAAAATGCCCATGTTAAAAATTTAGCCTGAGATTTTTGAATTTTGGCTAGTTCCCGCGACGACTGCCCCGCAGGAAAGGCGCTGCTATCGGGACCCCACAGCAGTGTGAGTGTGACATAGACTTGGCCTAGAAAGGGAGGGAGGGAGAGAGAACGAGGATAACTTAGTGCTTACTTAGGGGCGGCCGCACATACTCGTTTTGGCGGCAAAATCCAGTTTGACTATTCCTCATAAGCATTTAGATTCTTATAATGTTTGTATTCATTGATGTGGTACAAGTAAATTATTTTTATCTTGATTACTAATTTACATGAGTACCAAGTCCAAATGACTTGTTGATTTAGTACCTGGATAGTTTGGGCCAGTACCATTCTTTAATTTGAGGTTATGTTGCAAGACTAATGGAAATATGGAGAAATTGTCGTGGGATAAGGCCTAGTAAGCCCTGCTCTGCCGTAGCAAACCTGCAGACTAAGCAAATTTATATTTTTCTTGTTGGATTTTCACTTAAATATTTCCTATTTGAATAGATTTCTTGTCAGATTTATTCCCTATTTGAATAATATTAGGTTTAACAATTATTTAAAGGTTTGATACTACAGGAAGGATGATAAATTGTGTTTTTAAATAAATATTATTAGCTTAGTATTAAACTAGCTGTGTGCCCGTTCTACGCACGGGGATCTTATAGTAGTCAGTTGAAACCTTCTTATATTAAGATTAAGAACAGCAATTAGTTTGCATATTTGCAGATATGCTGGCAAAACTATTATATATAAACCTTCGCAAATACAGTATCTGACAGTTCAAGCCAAAATAAATGCTTCGCAATTAAATGTCACCCGGATCGTGTTGGTCCATATGTCCAATGATTAAACTTAAAAATGTTTTATAGATCCATGAAGCGTAGCCCTAAAGTAGGCCTATAATTGAAAGTTACTTTCTACATCGGTTAACTTAAACGTATTTAAAGTACTACCTCAACCTCACCATTTAACACTTTATTCCGGTTGACATTTTCAGTATCAAAGGTGCTCTTGTCCATTCCGTGAAACACTGAGAAATAAGGACATTAATGCGTTACCAACATACAACAAAACAACACAATACAACAATCCAACAAAGGCCACGAACTATTGATACATAAACAATATAAAGGCGTAAACAATTCATGATGGTTTGCCCAACAAATGTTTTACTCAAATAGGTTATCATTTTCTTAGCATACCGGGTAAGCTAAGATTTGGAATCCAGGCAGAAAAAGCAAAACTTATACAGAGTTAAGACATCACTTAAATTGAATACGGACGGCTCTAATAAATAAGGTGCAACACCAACGATATCTAATTTGTAAACTACCAGTTCTAAGGAAAAGAACCAGTACCTACGTAAGAACCTACCTAAGAATTACAGTAAATCGGACCAATTAAATACATTAATATCTAGTCCCGAGGTTATTGATCTCTTGCTTTTGGATTTTCTCGTAAAAAGTTATAGCGTAAACTTATCGGTGTCAGTTTGAAAAAGAAGCAACCTTACCCAAACAACTTTTTGTTATTTAATAGATTACGCATTCTCTAAACAATTATTAGTATATCTATTAACATTAGAAGGAAATGTGACGAAAATCACACAATGTTGGGGGTTTGGTCATTTGTAATTTTATTTTTTAAGTAGGTAGGCCATGTATTCTATGGAAAAGTACCGGTATCAAGGATCGTCGTCAAAAAGGTTGTTATGAATAAATATGTAGGCTTACGTACCCAAGATATGAGCTATGGGCCTATTGGCTGTATGGTCCAGCGATTGCATCACACGGTGAGTAGAAACAGAAAGTTACACATTGGAAAAGCGAGTTTAGCACTTCCTCTGTTAAACCTCTGTTACAATCACCCACTCAGGGGCGGACTGGCCCGCCGGCCCACCGGCCGGTGGGCCGATACGCCTTCTCAAAATTCCAATATTTGCGCCCTCGTTAAAGGAAAAATTCATAATTAAAAAAAAAAAATGAGACGAGACGTATTTTTAGAAAGCAAGAGTAAAAACTTCGAGTAAAAGTTTCAGCAGTAAATAGGAAAACATAAAGTCGGGTGTGAGACCTGAATAGACACTGTCGACAAGCGAGAGCAAAGCAGCTCTTCTCTCTCGTACGTGTAGGCCTACTCCGAGTGGAAGGCACTTTAATCTGTGCTGTGGTCTGAGCTACTTAAAACAGCTGTCCTCTCCCCGCGTCATTTTACGCCGAACCCGAAAAAAACTGCACTGCGACTGCATCCGACATCGGTCTCGGTCGGTGTCACGATGTATTGTCGTCTGTGGTAAACAACTAGTGAAGATAATTTAATATTATTTCATACTTGTTATAATATTTCATTATTGCTCACACTATAACTATTTCACTTTAAGCACAGAAAACATACTACTAGTATGTTTTCTGTGCTTTAAGTCACATTTAATTTTTATCAATGTCAACTCAACTCTCTTGTAAAATGGCGTTTGCCGTGCATGTAATAAATAAATAAAGAGTGTGAGCTGCCAATTAAAATGTGTCCCTCTTTAGTGAGTGTCTAATTTGTGTCTCTGTGTCGAAAGCTTCAATTTATTTTTATATTCTTTACCTACACAGGAAACATGAACGAATGTAGTATTGTAGAATCCCTACTTTTACAAAATTAAAATTAGATTTAGTGACAGTGTATTTGTTACTTGTATACTTACTTACTTGTATACTTGAAGTCTGTGTCGTTGACCGATGATATCGGTATGACTGCGTCATATTTACTTAATACTAAGAAAACTATTTACACACTATTTACACTGTGGCAATGGCTAAAAAGTGGCTCGTTGCCTAGCTCTTCAAGGCTGTAAAGAGGCCTATTTACCAGCCTGTCACGTAGGGCCGTCTTAAAATCGTCTAGGTCCAGGTCGCGTACATGTTAACTTAACCATTACACAGTAAAGGTTAAACAGTAAACAGTATTTTAATATGTGGCTACCGCCTATTAATTAATGATTTCAATATGCACTATGGCACTAATTTGGTCAACTTTCCTATTTTACTTACACATAGCCAGCCCAAAATACCTTCGTAGTTCTCTCTAGGCTATGGCTTCCATTTCGTTTGTAGAAATAGCTTAGGTAGGCCTACTTTAGGGTTTTTGACTTAATGTAATGCTAAAACAATTTAAGTCAATAAATTGGGGTTTTTCACAGTGAAAGCATTATTGTTTGTGTTAAAATAATTTCATAGAAATCTGAAATAGGTATATAACTTCTGTTATTTACAGTGCCAAAAAATACAGCAGTTGCAGGTTCAGGTTGTAAACAGGAGGAAGCACATGATTTATATTGTATGCATGCAGCCAAGTCATGCAAGGGAAAATAGTGAAAATACACAAATATAATACGAAAGAACCTAAGAAAATCGTTTGTATTTTTATTTTTGTTAGGATATTTAGAATAGCACCAAGTCGTGTGGGTAAATAGTCTAAATTTTGTAAACCAAACATTGACCAATAGTGTCAGTGATCAGATTTCTGATTTCCACTGTTAATGCCTCTAGATTGCCTAAAAATGCGAGTTTACAGGTATTATTTTTTTAAAATTTCCCGGGGGAGGACCCCCGGACCCCCCTCTGTCCAGGGGGGTATTCCATACCCCCCAGACCCCCCGGTTGGCGCCTTCGGGCTGGTCAAGGTTTACGCCCTAATAGAGTACCCAGTCCGCCCCTGCACCCACTGCAGTTGTGATTTTTTACTTTACACTTTACACAATCGCCATTGAAGCGCCGTCAATGAGTGGAAACCTTTTTTGTAAGCTATTGGCGACGATCATTTCAGTGTCACATCCCTATACAACACTGATTCAAGGTCTTCTTCTTTCTGGTTGTCAAAACTCAAGAAACATTTTATACTCAAAGAATTTCTGGTTCCGATTTGGACGATGTCTAGTTATTTAATTTCATTTACGGTTACACTATTAGACTATATTATTGCACTTGCGATTAATTAAATCCGTTATGTAAGAAAAACGTTTTTAATCTCACTTGGTTGGGATTTGCTTTCAAAACGTGATTCGAAATAGTTGCGGTATTTGTAAACAACATTTGTAAACATGTCATTGACAGCTAGAAAAAATAATCTTGATCCGAACAGCTGTTCGTTATTTCATAGACGATTATGTGATAAAAATTGAACGAAAATTTGACAAAAATCGCACAAAACTGCAATTTTGAACGTCCGTAATTTTATTTACAAAGTAGTGAGGCTATATTTAAATCACTAAAGACACTCTCGCCAATCCAGTGAATACATTAAAATGACTTGGATCTTGATATGTACTCTGGTTTTCACGGAGAAGATTGCGTAAAATGCCATCTTGAGTGTTACAGACAAAGGGACAGACAGACAGACAGACAGACAGACAGACAGAAATTGAGATAAGACTCGTTTCTGCTTCTTTAATGTATAAAACGTAAAAATAACTTAAAAGTATATAATTCTGAGCAATGTACAGACAAAACTCTAATTTTATTTATATAGATTAATACATTTGCAAACTTAAACCAAAATACACCCATAAACAAGCAAACTACAAAAGTTTGTCTATTATCCAATAACAGTAAGATAAATTTTAAATTTTTTTTAGTTTTCTCCGTGATCAATTACCATACACACTTCAAGATACTATGTTATAATTTTTTTAAGGTCTACTAAATGATTCAGAGATAAATTGGTTAATTCTGTTTTGAAGGTCAAAAATGAGAAAACCCAATTTTCACCATACACACTGCCGTTTCCATAGTCTGATCATGCTTGTTTGCAAACTCGTTCATAAACGGTACACGTCTGTACCAAATCTTATTGAATTTGGATAATTTTTACTCGAGTAATCACGCTAGGATGTTGTTTTGGCATCTGTGGACATAAAAACAAACAAGTAAATCGATACCGGGGTCTTACCATAAGACCTGTCATAATAACTTATCCATGAAATTTGCTAACATAAATGCAAATTGACACTGTTCCCCCTCAGGAGAAGCAGTGAATGGAGAGGTGGACCTGGCTATCAGTGATGGAGCCAACTCTGTAGGTCCGATCATCTTCAAGACCCGCAGTGAGGAGGTGACTCTGCACTTGTTGGTCAACAAGCCTCTCAATGTGTTTCCTCTGCTGAGACGTGTCGTCACCGCAGAACACCTACACGCTGAGTGTTCCGACCCCTCCAGACAGGTTAGTGGCGTGACAAAGTTGAACGGCAAATACATTGAAACACAAGAAAAGAGTTTTTAACGTAGGCTTTTGCAGCCGGTGTCATCAGAGTTCATAGTGTTTTTCGACGTGAACTGAGACTCGGTCACTGAGGATGACACTTCACAGAAAGGGCGAAACGTCTGCCAACATTGTATTAGTGTTGACCCTGAAAAACACTACCACGAACTCAAGAAAAGAGATTGATTAGATTTGAGAATCATATCTGACTTAGCTTTTTAACTCCTAACATAGTTGTATTATACGGTAAAAACTTACACCGTTTTGAGTGATGGGTTTAAAGTTAAAAAATTAAGTAGTTTTTTCTATTTATTATTCAACGTTCCTGTACCTCTCTTTCGGACAGATAAAAATATTGGCATAAATAGGTACTAATCATGTGAAATAGGTTACAATTCCACCTCATTTTTCCCAAATTGAGTACTGTCAAAAACTATTCATTTTAACGCAAAATTTTCTATTTAAAAAATCCATGATAAATTGCTAACCATAATGGTCCTCTTCATAATCTTGTTAAAGCGAACGGTTACAGAGTTACCAGAAAATCACTTTAAAAAATACTTTTTATATGGATAAAAGTGGACATTTTCAAACATTTTTAACACTTTAAAATATTTGACTTCATTATTATGGTTTTTTTATGTATACAGGATCTTTTTTTAAGCAAATTGTGACATTAGTGGCCTGTGAATGTTAATGATAAGCCCTTGAAGGAACAACAAAACCTCGCCGAGTCTCCCTCTTCTCAATAACACTACATTTAAGAAGAAAAACACATGTCAAAGCTCCGAAACAAAAAATATTACAAATTTGTCAAATTCACACCCCCCCCCCCTCCATCCAGACCTGACGCTCATAATGGTGTTACTTTTTACAACACAATACAGGGGCTATATCTAACAGTTTGGAGTCAAACATTGCTTTCACTTTAGTGTGTTTAGAGTTATAGGTCTAATTGCAACGTTCTTTGTTTATTATTTCTGTCCATCATTCTGTTTCTGTTGATCATTCTGCTATTTGCTATACAGGTTATGTTCCGAGTGAGATCACAACCCACCCTAGGACAGTTGGTGTTGGAGCCTGACAAGTCTCCTGTTCTCAACTTTACGCAGAGTGATGTGACAGAAGGTAGAGTCTCCTACCAGCACACTACACCTCAGAACCAGGTGTTCACAGAGCACGCGACCAATGACAGCTTCACGTTTGATGTGGTCGCAACTCACGCCACTCCTCTGCTTAACCAGGTAAGAATTAATATAGTGCATCAGCAAATAGCAATACACTGTGTGTTCCTTGTGTTGAAAAAGGTTTGCTGGAAAGGTAGGTTGAATTTAAAAAGAAAATATACACAAGAGGGGAAGTTATTTAGAAGTAGATTTTCAGCAAACTTTCCTGAGAAAATGAACGTCCAGGGGCTTAATGGTACTAGTAAAGTACAAACATTTTGTTCTAGTTGGTCTCTTTTTTCCGGAGAGTATATGTTGAAAAATATGATTGATGACGGAAGTTTCTTATAATACTACAAGGTTCTGGGCTGATTTTCTCAAGTTAGCTAAATATTAGGAATTGAGACGGGATTGTATTTTTAGTTCAGGATATCACGGGATGGTTATTTCCTTCCCGATTTTTGGGACTGGACGGGATTTTTTCATCATGCAAGAGAGGGTTTGTTTTAAAAATCTTGAGTAAACATTCTTACAGATAGCAATAATGACTAACCAAATCAATTAGCAGTCTTTGTGGCACTGTTATACAAAAACCAATAATGGGTAAAAACAAAAACTGTCTACTAAAAAAATTCTATTTCTAGCAATTTAACTGTGAAACATCAATTTAATTTTTTAAACACTGCACTAGCTAACCACAAACAGGTATTTAAACCAACCATAACTGCGTTTTTTTAAATCTGTAGGTTGTTAAGGCCTTATATTTTTACTATAGTTCGGCCGCTTAGAAAACGACCTGCACGCTAATGCTAAACCAATGCTGGAGGAGGTTGTTTTCTAAGCGGCCGACCTATAGTAGAAAAGCAGTATTAGTATTAGCTTTAGTAATCATATATTTTTTAATGCTTACCTAGCTCAACATCATCATAAATATAATCTGCAATCGCCATCGGGATCATGTCCTTTGTTCGTGGCCCCATCGTCAACATGTCTCATGTTCACAGTGCCTTCATCAACATTCCTCGCGATAATAATAATAGTGAACATCTTTCTGCAATTACACAGACATCATGGTCTCCTGGTTTTGCAGAACCATCTCAAACATCTCCCGTGACCCAGGATGTAGCAAAATTGCCAACGATTGGAAAGATTCCCGTTCCAAGAAAATCCGGAACAAAATGTTATCCCATCCCAATGGTTAAGAATATATTTTTTCCAAAAATGTCCTGAAATTTTGGGATCTGTCCCTTCTTACTAATATTATCTTTTCCCTTGATGCTCCGTAGTGAAATCATGAGTATTGCTTTACTATTTCATTCTGTGTATAATATTTCTCAAAATTCTAACTGTTATTTATGTGTTCTGTAATCACATAAAAAAATACTATTGTACTATTGTAATCTAATGAATGTATCCATTTTTGTTTAATAAGTAAAACTGATTGCTTGATTGACTATGTAAAGTTTCAAACAAGCTATCATTTTGTAATATATTCCAGGATTTCCAAGTGGACATTTCAGTGTGGTCGGGAGGTCTGGACGAGTTTCTAGACACAACCTACTCTCTGGAGGTGGAGGAAGGTGGTCACTCGAGCATCAACATCAACACCACTCTGATGATGAAATTCCTGTCTCAGCACGTAGGGACTCCCACCATCACGGCGAAGCTGTGGGTGCCTCCCTCACACGGCGCGGTGTGTTACCACGGCAACTGCGGTGATAATCGGACCACCTTCTCTAACTGGGAGCTCAACAACGGCTGGGTGGAGTATCACCACGATCACTCGGACACGCTACAGGACAGTGTTAGTCTCTCACTGTACCTGGAGCCTGGGGACGTTTTGTTGTGTAACATCACAGTGCCTGTCAGAGTGAGGCCGGTGAACGACCAACCCTTCCAACTCATCACGCAGGCTCCTCACGTCAAGTGTGTGCAGGGCCAACGCAGGACCGTCACCAAACTGGACTTGCTTACGGAAGATGACGACACTCCTCCGACAGAGATTGTTTACGAGATCGTCAGCGGTCCTAGTCACGGAGTGATTGCAGTCGGCGGGAATACGACTGTCGGGAGGTTCACACAGGCCGATATAGACTCTGGAAGAGTCGTTTTTGAACACTCTGGACCTTTGCAGCCTGCGTCTTTCTACTTTAGAGTTTCAGACGGTCAATTTAATCCTGCGTATACGGTGTTCAATATTGCAATTATACCTGTGACACTCAACGTGTCGGTTGTAACGCCTGTGCTGTTACAACAAGGATCAAGTGTTGCTGTAATCACCAGCAATGTTTTCCTCATCAACACTAACGGCAGGGAAGACAGTGTAGTTTACAATGTCACCAAGTCACCGTATCACGGTGTCATCTATGTAGACGACATTGCCACCAATAGATTCAAACAGAGTGATTTGAACACACGGAGAGTTATGTACATGCAAACAGACATGACTACTCACAGTGATACGTTCGAATTAGCTGCGACTTTCCCTCTTGAAGACGCTCCCGTCGTCACAGGACTCAATGTGAACATGAGTGTCGAACCACTCATAAAATTGGGAAAATTTTTTGCTACTGCAGGAAATAGAACAAAACTCACAACCGAGGCTTTAGATGCAAGTCCTCTAGCTAAGTTAACAAACTCTGATCCAACATTTAAGGTTTTGAAGAAACCAAGATTCGGGAGGTTGAAGAAGATAATTTACAGTTCAGGAGAGAAGCGAACCGTCAAAGAAAAAGAAGTGACAAGATTCACCCACGAAGAAGTGAGAAGCGGTGTTATTTACTACTGCGCTCGACGGATTCAAGAAAGTCAAACGGACAGTTTCCCGTTCCTCTTGGCAGCCTCTATTTTTCAACCCGCAATTGGAGAGATGAGGTTCGACGTTGTGTTGGACACGGGATATCCATCGACAACATTTACTCCACCAAAACCTCCCAGACTCCCCGGCCCTAAACCCCCAATAGGTCATGAAGGTGTGGAAATAGCCAGTCCCAACATGAGTGACGATTACTTGTTAGTCGTCGGGATGGTGGTGGGCACAATAATACTAGCCATCATCGTCGTGATGCTGGTGCGGTGTGGTTCTAAGCGAGCGGAGAGTTTACACAGTGCTAAGAGTGATTTGAACGCTCCTCTACCACTACCTCAACCTCCGGACGAACTACTACCCCTCTCTCCTCACCCGAAGCGTTCCGACTCTATGACGCCCGGTTCACTCCCCCAGTGTAAAGTGATCCCTCTCGGTCCGACCATGGACTCTGTGACAGGCTCGGAAACAGAACTGAACCTGCGTTATCCGTACGGAGCGGCCGACGAAGACTGGAGCAGTTACGAGGCGTCGGAAATGGGCTATTCTCAACGAGCCAACAACCCGATGCTACGACGCAACCAATACTGGGTCTGATAGTGTCCTCGACAACGCACTCACGCGTTGTCTGCCAAGACTATCACTAATGCTCATTGACTGCGACTGAATGGTGTTTGGGTTAATGTGAGTGAGGGTTCAAAGTCACACCACTTGTGAATTTGTTAGATTACTACTAAAATTAATCGTACATTTTTTACTTAATCATATGTTAGCTAAACAACACATGTGTATTCCCTTCATATTATTTTTCATCATTTGAATTAAATCCATGAAGTAAAATTTCCAAAAATGGTATCAAATACATTGAGAGGGAAGGAATGGATATACTACTTACCCAAGAAAAGAGTAGTAGGATGAATTTTACTAGAATAGAATCACACTACTTTTCTCAGAAATATCATCTTTCCTCAATGAATCCCTAAGCCAAGTGCTTTTTCTGCCAAAAAACAGTTAGAGAAAGAATTTAGTCAGCGTCAATTCACAATTGGTGTCGCTCTTAGACCTGTTTGACAGGTTTTACCAAGAAACATTGTGGACAGAGTAATGTAATCGTATTAACTAACGTGTGTTAGAAGCTGTAACTTTAAGTTTTCAGGGTACTAAACAATCAATTGATTCTTTCAGTTATATTTGTTTTGTAAATATTTGTGCTATCATTCTTATGTCTCAACTGATTCATAACACCATTGAATACCTCCTTGACTATAGTTTGAGTTTTCATGTAGTTTTTATGTCTAGAATAATTGCAGTATTACGTGTAAGATACTTTTGTAATTTCAAATTGTTTACCCCTGTGTAATTTATTTGCCAAAGAGGTATTTTGTGTCAATTACAAACTGTACAATAAGTTGATAATTTTTGTAAGTTAATGTGAAGAATTTTTAAATAAGCTGAACTTTTATTTAAGATTTCTATGAGTTTTTCTAATCAATGTTATTAAACGTATTTTAAAAACATACCAAAGAAGTTGTAGTGTACCAAAGCTAAATTAAGATTATTGTCTCTAGTTAATGATTTGGTTATTGATTATTTGTTGTTAAGAGTAATATAAAAATGTTTTATAATTATTCAGTTAGTTAATGTTACCGTTAAACTATAACATAGTGCTTTTTTAATGTGACAGATTATGTGTAGATATATATAAATACATAGGTTATTTACTGTCTTCGCAATCCTGATTTGTTATAGCACTACGGCCGTTTCGGAGATAACTCCATCGTCGTTGGGTGCGTAGTCGCACACTAAACTAAATTACTGTATTTAAATTTGTTATGAGATTTCTTAATTTTCATTGTGTCAACGCTCTAATGGTTTTGTGTCGTTTGTTGTGATTTATATGTATCATTTATTTAACCGTTGACACAATGAAAATGAAGAGATCTCGTAAAATAGTCATTTAGTTTAGTTTATGACTACGCAGAAGATGGAGTTATCTCCGAAACGGCCATAGTCCAATAACAAATCAGGATTGCAAAGACAGTAAGTACCCTATACATTTATGTAATAAACTTTTTTTATGTACTATCAAATTTTTAATTGTACAATGCTTAATGCAGTATATAATAAAAAAAACAAATGCCAAAAGTTTAATAACTATTATGTTTTCTTTTGTATTGATTGTAAATAATATATGGAGTATATTTCTTTTACAAGTCATAAAAAATGTGTTTGATAATCTTTCACTAATAGGAATCTTTTTTAGTATGTGCATTCACTTTTAAAAGTTTTAATATACACTTGCCTTTAGCTATCTAACCGATAAAGGCATTAAGAATAAACTTAATTTTATAACTTGAATTTGTTAAGTTTGTGCATTTCTAAGTCAGTCAAACTACTTTTAGCCGTTTTAATACTTTATATTATTGAAATATAATTCTTGTAGGACTGAAATCTGATTGAAAGTAGGCTTATCTATAACGTTTGTGCACCATTTTATCAATAATATTACTCGTTTTTATTACCAGAAGAGTGAGAATTACATTTTTAGTTAACTAATGTGTAATTTTTTATTGAATCTAATCACCAATAACTTCAACAATATCTTGTACTTTTTAGTTTTTCTTAGTTTTTTTGTTTTTTTATGAATTCTGTTAAGGTTTCTAAAGTTTTCTGTATAATTAAGAATTATTACTTCTAGTCCAAGCTTTGTGGAATCAACTAACTCACATTTCCGCCCGTTTCTCTAAATCCATCCAACTCTTCTTTAAAACTGCCAATCACTCTTTTACTCTTGAACAGTATTAGTTTCTATGTGCCAATATTAATCACATTGTTTCAGTAAATAATTTATTTAACTCTGATAATGCATTTTTAAATGTTGGAAACCTAGTTTAAGTACTTTATTTAAAAAATTAAGTTGAAGGAGTTTCAAACGCACACTAACCTTAGTTTTATATGTTATTAAATAAATATAAAAAGGCTGTTCAGGAAGTGAGGAATGTTTTGGAATAAAATAAAAAGTTTGTACAAGAAACAATTTACTAAAATACTTTTCTTCGTAGCTCCCAAACAAATTGATGCATTTAGCAAAGCGGTGGACAAGCTTTGGAATTCCTATGTCGTAGTATTCCACAATTTTCAAGCTCAGCGACCGGTGAAACACAATTTGATGTTCTCGTTGTAATTAAAGGCTGTGCTGCTGACCGAGTGTTTTTGGTGCATAAAACAGTCAAAAGTTACTAAAGTCTGAACTATTGGGTCGGGGGAAATTGTCCCATTTGAATGATTGAAGGAGATTGTGTGTGCAATGTTACAGATGAGGTCGGGCAATGTCGTGCAAAAAAAAAATGTTGGGTGTCAAATTAAGTTCTGTTTTGAAACTGAATTCATCATTTACGAACATAACATTAATTTATCACATTGTTTCAGAATCACTAACGATAAATTTATATATTTTAAAGTATCGCCAACAAAAACTGTATTAACGCTCCTTTCAACTGGCGGGAGTTTCAGTTGCACCTTTTTAAAATTTAATGTCGTGACAACGGACAGCACAGTGACACTTCCGCTGTGATGGCTGGACATTGAGTAGGCGAACACGTCTGTACTAGAAAGTACGCGACCAAAACGCGCCTATCAGCATCAGACAGAAACATTCCTTACTTTCTGAACAGACCTTGTACAATGTGGGTACAGAAACGCAATGCTAATACAGATAATAATAATTTTCGCAGCACAAAAATACAGGATACACTACTATATAAGAGTTACTTAAGTACCTAAGAGTTTTCCAATAAAACTTAGCTTTTAGTTTGTTGTGTGGGTAACTGCTAGGGTTTTTCAAATATTTACAGATTTAATAAATTTAATTTTTTAAAGATTAACATAATAAAACTGGTGATTTTGTTTAATTTCTCAACATGCAACAGTATTTGTTTTTAGAATTTTAGAAGCCGAGCTTATACGACAATCGTTACAGTGTGTAACTTAAATTATTGAATAATTTTGTCTCAAAGTCAAAATAATAAAATAAAAATCAAATTCCACGGTAGAAATTTTACTGAACCGAGTGAGTAAGGGGGTTACATAATAAATAAAATGACTTATGTTTATATTTGACCTAGAATATAATATTTTGAAACAACAAGTATTCCCATCTTTAATGTTTGAAAGCACTATTCACTTTTCTATTTTTGAGCGGAGTGAAAAAACTTCCTGGTAAACAATAATGATTCAAATTTAGACTTATAGCAATTTTCAACCAATAATATCTTACATTTTTTCTTAATCCATTTAATAAATGCATACATTGCAAAATGAGGTACTTAACGTTTTATTGGCATATGTCAATTAATATAGTTCTAGAAACCAATATGGCTACCTCAAAAATAAATTTTTCTATTTTTGTATTTTTATTTATGGTTAGCTTTTTTATAGTTTATCCGTTTTCAGATAATGACCTAAGTCCACACACAGAGATGTAAGGTACAGGAAAACTTACTTTTGGGACGATCATGCACTTTCAGCTGTATGTTGTGCTGGAAATATACTTGTGTCGAGCCGGGAAGAGTCTGGGTGGGGAGCACCCTGTACAGGGCACAGTGTCTTCCTCCACCGTGAGCGTTCTAGTACATGAGGGCGATAGGGTGGTGTTGGACTTTGCCCTAGACACCAGCAATAGTGCTAGACACCACTTAAGCGTACCATTGAATGTTTCCTCTTACCTTACTTCTCTGTGGTCTACAGTATTATGTGTAATGGGTTACAAATAAGCTCAAGGGGTCAAGACTATTGAAACCCTGAAAGGATATTTTTTCACTTGTTTAGTGAAATCACAACATGCTTTACAGTAGAGATAAGTACGTAGGTTAGTGAATATTGTTAATTTTAGCAAATTAGAGTTTTATATTGTCTGATCTTTAGGGTGTGAATATAAATAAATTAACTCAGTGCAGAGCTTCTTGCGGAGTTCTGTGCTAATACTTGTTCATTTTGGGGTTTTATTCACCCTATTTTATTTCAACATATTCTGATTCTTTGGTCACCCAGAAGTATACATTTCTATTCTACAACTAATAATTGAACTAGGCCTAATAATTGTCTAGGTAGCCGAAGCTTATCTTTTATTATGAAGGTTCCTAGAACAATCAAGCTATGTAACAAAAACTCTATTATAAAGTAGTGACAAGATCAGGGATTGGTTTATTCTAATTTTTAATCGGACATTATGGTAAAAATATGTCAGTAGACAGAAATGTAAAATCTGTGTCTGAAATTCTTGCATTGAACCCTCATATACACTCTTTTTAACATTCCCAACTAAATAGTTACTGTTTTTAAATTAAATGCTTTAGGTGAGAGGTATTATTCATTTGCAAACCAGAATCATGTCAGACTTGATTCCATGAATGGTTATGCGTGATATCGCGGATTTAACTTGACAAATATAATGGTGAGTGAAGCCCAAATACAATTTTCATAAACAGTTACTATACATAAGACAAAACAATGTCCCTAACCAAACTTAGAGCTAAAAAAAGCCAATGACCAACCATAATTATTTTTATTTATAAAGTTTCAAATTGGACTGGGGTTCACTTTGATTCTTAATCAAGTTTTCAGAATTAGTTCAGTTGTGGAGCACTTTTGGAGTTTGACTTTGTGGACCTTTACCCCCACATCTTGTATTTACTACTTCACTACCGAATGAGTTGTAAATTTGTCAGATAATCCACACCTTGTTTGATGACATGCTTGTCAACATTTACTGGCAATGATAAGCAAACATATGTCCTCTAATCAGCTGAGTTGTCAAAGAAATTAGGATACAGCAATCAACCGTATTGCATCACCTGAGAACATCATTTTTTTATGTCCCAACTTCATCATCAGGAACTGTTTGACAAATTACTTTAGGTTTAGGATAGTCCTAAAGGGTCATGTCATTATCACATTGATAAAACCCATTGGCGGGATTTGAAGACCTCGAGCTTCGAAGCCTGTTAGCTTTATACCACTAGACCAGCTCGCTCCCTGAGTACATCATTGATGGCTTTTAGCCATATGATAATGCCGAAATATGGTGGCTTGTTAACTTTCGATCCAAATACCATCATTATAATTATTATTATTAATAATAAACCGTATCAGCAATCTGATAAATACTTCCTCCCAACTTAAACAGCAATAGGGGTTGTACCGTTTATTGAAAAGGACTAAAACATATTAATTTTTCATCATAATCTTTATGGCTGTTTTTGTAAAACATTATTTTTCTGTTATTTAATGGCTTTTAAAAAATTAAATCACTGTGAGAAACCAAAATTTCAAAAATAAAAAAAGACCAATATATTAGATTATTTTCTACAAAATCGGACCACAGGTGTGGTTTGTAGCTCTATGCACATCCCTTCACTCCAAAAACCACTTTGGGGGTTCAGGGGGACCCAAAACGGATAATTATGTCCAGCCAAAACAAAATCTAAAAAATTTTTATGAAAACCATATTCTTTCCACAAATACTATGTATAGGGGAGAAAGTAAACAGATATAATGTATAACGTCAATGTGTGCATCAAAAGCAAACTGAGAGAAAATAGCGCTCGCCTGGTTATCATAATATCGCCGGTTTAATCTTAAGAAAAGTCATAAACTTTGATGGTTAGAAACAGCGGCTTACAAGGAATGGTCCTAGCAAAAGAACCAGATGATCAATCATAGTTGGTAAAAAATCTTAAGTTAAGTGTAAAACGATCTGTAATATCACTTGTATTCGCTTTAAAATTGCACCATGTGAAGTTGGTGTTGTGTAAATTTATCTAAACAACATAGAACTGTTATGATTCAAAATAAACTTCTGCTTTAAAAAGTTGAAGAGGATTTTATTTCATTTGGTATTGAGATCTAAAGTCTGATGTGGAACGTTGAAAGGAAGTCAGGAGCTCGCAAGATGACATGTTCAAACTCCATGTAGGAAAGTTTACCGTCCCCGTCAACATCTGCCTCCTCCACTGCCTTCTCCACAACCTAGGATACATAAAATTAGTACTGAGTGAAAATAAAGTAAACAACATCATCCAACGTGGTAAGCCTTGGTACAAGCATCTATCAAGTATAAATGGTGATCTTGGCCAACTATATTCAGTATGGCTTCCTCAACCAATGTCCAGTTATGATTTAAGTTAAAAACACTTCAGATAAAAGTCCTATTGTCAATTCCTTTTAAAATATAATTTACAAGAAAACAAAATATTGAGATTCTTTGACGAAGCTTGTATACATAGTTTCATGCCAAGCCTCTCTTGTACTAAAATAACTGAGTTAGTCATCAGGAAGAGCAAAAGGCAATCATTGATCATCACATGGACCACTGTATGACATTTCGCTCCATAGCTACATGACAGATGGGCCATTCCCAATTTTCAACTTTCGATTGTTTAAATACCCATATCAGTGGAACACCAATTGAGCATCATCCAATGCTTCTATATATATATATATATACAAGCGAACTACAACAGTTTACTTATTCCTCATAAGAATATCATAAGCATTTTAAATTTTACATATAGTCTTTTTTCTATAACAAATAACTGTGCAAAAAAACTTCAAAATACTAAATTATTTGTTTTTAAGCTCTACAAAATGGTTTAGAGAGATATTGGGAAAGTCTATGTTTTGAGGGTAAAAATGAGAAAACCCATTTTCACCCCATATTCCGACCTTGCTGGTTCACAAACTCGTTCTAATAAAAATTTAGGTTTAAAGGTTTGTAACAAATTTAATCAAAATCAGATAATTTTTACTACAGCTAACAAAAAAAAACATATAAATGAATTTGAACGGAAGGTGCTTTTGGCATCTGGGGACATCAAAACAAAAAAACAAAATCGGTTCCGGGTTTAGGTCTTGCAAGAGACTTTCAGTATAATAGCTTATTCCCATAACATGTGAAATTTACTAAAACACTAATAAACATTAAAATAGCCTATGACTGTATGGACGAAAGTAAAATACTAACAAAATAATCAACAATATAATATCACAATCAATGATAAAATACCTGAGAGATCTCTTCTGGAGTAAGTTCTCCATGTGTTAGTAGTCTCAGAGCCGTCTCGATGTCCTCAGGTCCTATGTGTTGATCATTGTCAAAATCTAGCCAAGGAAAGAATACAATAATTACATGCAACCATCTTAATTATTTATATTTTTAACAATCTGCATGCTAAAAAAATTGTATAAAGTCTTTTAAAAATTAGACTTGCAATTTTACCGTGATAATATTCTTAGTAAATAGGTAGGTAGGTATATTAGATGGCAACGTTGCACATTTTTTCTAGACTATTCCATAATCTCCAGAACCATGAGGGGTTTAAATTTACTTGATAACCTTTCATAATTATTGAAATGCACTACTGTAGTTTGTATTCATATGAGTTATCAATGGATTTTAATGGGAACTTTTTTTTAACTACCGGTACGTTTAAAATTTTATTTTGGAAAATCAAATTGAAATTAGGTAGCAAAGCAAGGGTAGTTGAGATACCACCTATCTTTTAAAAATAAATTGTTGATTTAAATTTAACAGAAAACCATTATAGACTTGTAAATAAATTGTAGTCTTAAATCAAAAATTTTAAATCAACCCTTGCATAAAAATAAAAAAAAATACTTTTGTTTTATATTCAATTTTAATTTATTGTTTGTGTTTATTGTACTTATTTTAGTTATTCCTCACACTTCAGTTTTCAGTTTATAATTTTGATAAAAATATAATTCAAATATTTTATAGGCCTACTTCATACTTGAATAATCTTCATAAGTGATAGAGGATTGATTGAATTTTTTTTCTATGGAATTCTTAAATTTAATAGAAATGTATTTTAGACCTATCCCATTTCCTTTATCGCGAAATTAAAGTTTTATCATCTAACGCGATGTTCAATACTCGCAGTTTCAATGAGTTTAATGAATATAATTCAAATAGAGAAGGGGAAGTAAGTAAACAAAGATCAATGGACTGTGACTGGTGACATAACCTCTTCACGCTCAGTTACCCGCGCGCGCAACTAACAGCTGATCACAGCCACTGTGTCTGGCGATCAGCTGTTCTGACCTTCCACAGCCTCTCCACGCCACTTCGCCGCAGCCGACACGTACTGTATTGAATAAGCGGTCAACCTTGTATAGAGGTCTGGACTCGACATTGAGAAAGGCCCGGCCGAATGGCTATTATGTTATAGGAATCTAACTATTATTTTCACTTTATTGATTGAGTGATACTTGATTTACTAACAAGAAATTTGTATTTATTTGAAATCAGTATGAATGATATGGCACATTTTGAAAGGGATTGGTTATAAGTACAGTATGACGATGCTGAGAGCTGAGATGCATTTAGTATTGAGAAAGGCCAATTGGTTATTATGCAATAGGAGTCAGAACTATCACTTCACTTTGCCAGTATAGGGTTACTTGATTCATGAGTCATAAGAGCCCTGTCATAAGTCCTGCATTAAGCCATAAGGCCAAATTTGCATTAGCTACGTCAAAAACTGTTCTAATGAAATATTTGCATGTGAATCATTTACGGAATACTTACATATGCACGAAACAATCTGATATTAAAGTATATGAATATATATATATATGAAAACCTATCTTGATTGTCAATGTCTTTAGGAAGACTAGAACTGTACTATTATCTTATTATGTTTACTGATAACCAATAAAATTCAGCACGTATAAAAGGTACGTTTTGATTGGTTAATTGGAAAGTGCATAGTGAAGATACGTAGTCCTGCGTATGTTTACTAAACTGTGTAAAGTACTCACCGTATATTTTGAAAGCATAAAACACTTTGATGTCCCGAGGTGCTTGCTCGCTAAACACGGAGAGAAGATCCAAAAAATCTTCAAAGGTCAAGTTTCCCTTTCCATCCCTTGAAAATACCTCAAGGATTCTGGTTCTGAAGGGATTTTCCTGTTGACATTAAAAAGAGACATTAAAATCATGTTTCAAAATTAAGAAGTTACTACACCATTCAGTTTTCCTATTTTGAAATCATATCTTACCAACAGAACTTTCCAAATTAAAGAATCAGGAATCCCCCAAGGAAGCGTACTTGGACCATACTTGTATATTCTCTATACATCGGACCTACCATAAAGTGTAAACACTATGGTTGCTACATTTGCGGATGGCACGGAGACAATCCGGCTCAAGCTACAGCAAATTTACAGCGAAACTTTGATGAAATTTCCCATTGGTTTAGAACATGGAGGTTCGAAATTAATGAAAATAAATCAGCACACATTACTTTTACCCTAAATCAGGCAGATTGTAAATTAAATAAAGTTAAAAAAATCATATAGCAAACAGCTGTACTGTACTGGTCAGACCAAAACAATAATAATCTAGGTAATCAAACATAGCATGGATATAAACTTTAAACACTTAAAAGTCAAGTTGAAAGAGAGCTCCTATAATTTTATTGGACTTCTTTGTGGAAATGATACATCACGGTACGGTGGTACGGTGTGATGAAGACCTCCTGAAGTTAAGACGTGGGAAGGAAACCTCATAAAAGGTTTGTACAATGTATCCCTTTTGAAGGTTCTATGAAACTGAAACTTTGACATTTGAAATCTGTTCTAGATCAATTTGATCATCCATAATTTCCCTAAGACAGCACATTTTCTTGTCACATTTCAAACTGGCAGATACGAGTAATTAATTGAGTATTTTTATAGCATAGAGTAAGATACATTTTAGCTTTGATGCTGACTGTGACCAGTCGTTTCTTTAGTGATAAATTCAAACCCTAAAGTTATAGATGGATCTAGTCTATACAAAAAAGATACTGGATCTCCTTAAAATTGAACCATAAAAAAGATAAGAATTTATTAAAAAAAATAAACGAGTCTGCCTTAAAAATAAGGTTGCCAATGACACAGATAAAATTTTGAATGATTTAACATCTATGACTGATTAATTTTGATGTTTCGGTATAAATGACTTCTTATTATAGTCAATGAACCTTTAATATTTCATGTATGAATTAATTTTCAAAAAGGATCTGTCCAAATCATATAGTTTCCAAAAGCTCATAAACAATTTTGATAATGTTCCTCTAGAACCAAAAAACAATCCAAAATCCCCTCCATTTTTTAAATATTTAAAGGTTGATGCATAAATTTGTTTCTTTTCCTCATTCTTTTCATTAGGTTGATTTCATATCGAGTTTTTATATCGAGAATTACCCCCTTTTGTTACTATGTCTTTCAATCAACAAAATACCGACTCTTCTTACTGGTGCTTCCGTGATCCTCCAGAGGAAAGACAATGTACTTATTCGTGGACTTTCAATGTAGGTGAGATCTATTACCGCTAAACTGTCCAGCTTAAAGGCTGCTACTATTTCTGATGGTTAAATAATTAAGACATCAATATAACATAGTTGTATGTGGTCTTTTTGAGAAGAGAGTTGTGACTTTTAAAATTCCCCCTACAGGTTGGGTTAGTTATGGCCACGGTTAGGTTACATCAATTCACCTCAACTTCATTTGTAGGGGCAAATTTTAATAGTGGTAACCCACTTCTAGAATAGACTCGTTTTGTTTCTGAATGCTTTTAGGTGAGGTGTTATTTATTTACGAAGATTATTGTGGCCTTCACCTTTATTTTTGTCTGTGATGTCCAGTACTCGTCAAAACACATATAAACACATATACACACAACACGAAATCGTCCATGGCATCAAAAGTCCGACGTTCGCGGAACTCAAAAGAAACGTCCAGCTTCCTCAGGGTTGGAAAACACTTTTTTTTAGTTCCGCGAAACGTTGGACTTTTGATGCCATGGACGATTTCGTTGTGTGCGTATATATGCGTTTATATGTGTTTTGACGAGTCCTGGACATCACAGACAAAAATAAAGGTGAAGCCCACAATTATCTTCGTAAATAAGACTAGTTTTGTGGTGTGAATCATTATTTTACCAACCCTCAACTCCGGCAGCCTCTCCATCTGCTCCCTGTTGACGCGGACCGTGTGTGCCTCATTGCCTGTCATAGTCTTCGGCACTACATCTGGACTGACCTCCCTGAACCTCTTGTAAACCCTGCAGCAAAGTTTCATGTTAGCCTCCGAAGCACTTTTCGTAAATTTAAAAAGTAAATAATACCTTTTAATGCTGGCAATTGTTGAAGACCAATCTAGATTACTGGATTCAATCTCCGAAGGGGTTTTCTCCAGAAAAATCATGTGTGGATGAAAATTGACACATTGTGTTCTGAAGAAGTCTTCAGACCCCCTTCTGAGAGTCGAAACTGGTAGCGTTAAAATAACTAAAAAATTGCTCTGTAGTAAATAGTGTATTCACTTGTATTCAATTTGAAAATGATTTAAAAAAAACCTTATTACCTTATACTTATTAAATTAGGAATAAATCTGACATGTTTAGGGAAATATTAAAGTGGAAATCCAACCAGGCAAATGGAAATTCTCTTAGTCTGCAGGTTTACTGTGGTGGGGGTATTTTAATTCTATATTGGGGGTAAACTTTTATAAATATACAGTAGCTAACGTGTAATTGGTCTAACTAGAGTCTGAAACAAAAAATACCAGTTTGAATTTATTAAAAGTTGGCTTACTCATCAGATATCGGTATCCTACTCAGTCGATGGTTTTACCAAACGACGATAATTTCATTTTAAAACTAGCTATCATTATTACAACTCATGGAGTATTAAATGTCTAGCTCTATCGTAAGTCGACACTGAAATTCTGAATACTCTAAACGTACACTGGTTTGAACAACAACCCAAGATACCTACTGGAGGGCTACATTTCCACCCCTGCCCGCTCTTCTACTTCTTCCACGCACATTTCCAGCCAAGAGTACATACTGCAATGCATTGCTGCAGGAGTCCATATGCTTCTGCATCCACCCTTCGATCCTTCGACCGTCTAAGGACACTCAACTAAATTCGATAAGTAATTATGACCGGTTAAGGTCTGGACGGGAGCGCCCGTGGACCTTGATCCACTTACGGCTGCCATTGGACCTCCACAGTCCACACATCTGGTCGACAGCGCTCTGGATCTGCTAGTCGCGGTGAAATGTTCAATAAAAACATAATAAATCATTATTTGAATTGAAAATACGACTGTCGAAGCAAGCCTGTAGACTAAGTGAATTTCTACTTGGAAATTGGAAAATGAGATATTTTCTTCAACTTGACAAATGTATTCCTTGTAGGTTAGAAGGGTACTCAGGTTTGCTGTTACAATGAAGGTAATTAGTGTGATTCTTATTTAAATGCTAGTAGTTTAGCATAAACAATATAATTAGTCATAAACTCTCACATGGTCTACATAGGAAGACATTTTAAAACGTTAGGGTTTTAGGGTAAAAAATGAAAAAAAAAACATACTTTATCCCATAAACCCCCGTTCCCATAGTCTGAATTCTTTTGCCAAATCGATCGAATAAACGTAGGTTTACACGTCTGTACCAAACTTCGCCGAAGTCTGTTCACTTTTATACGAGTTTTCGTGCTAACGGACACACACACGTTCGAATTCACAAATATTTAAATTCGAACGGATTGTGTTTTTGGCCTCTGGGGACAACAAAACGTAAAAGTAAATCGGTCCCGGGTCTAGGTCTATATTTAGGGTAATACTTTATTCCATACATGGGAAATTTGCCAAAAGACTCAGAAAGATATAAAAGTGTACATAAACGGTGTGTAAAAAGTTTTATTGATTTGTGATGCCGCAAAGAGTGATGGACCAAGATCAGAGCCTTGCGGGACTCATAAATGTATTTGTTGGGATGCTGGTTATCAAGTTAATAGATTTGTGCATATGCTTTATTTACGCCATATATTTGACTAGTGATAGAGCTAAAGATTCCATTCACATATTTAAGATGCTGCTAGTTATAGTAAAATTTTACGGAGCTACCGCACAAACAGAGAACACTGACGGCCTTGCTGATGTAAGTTGAATACAACTTTTTAACAAAGCGAAGATAATATTTACAAAGATATAAGCACTATAAGCAAAGATGCAATATCTAAGAATACCAAAGAAAAAGGTCATATAGTTCGTTTTTATAAGCTCACACAATAGTTACATTATTGTTGAAGGTTGAATCAGAGTTTTTCAAATCCAAATTATAGAGAAATATTTTTATTATTTAGAATTTCTTTAAAATAATCGCAGACTGTTTAAACGAGTCCCATGATTATTAGCTTTTGATTTTATATTATTTAAGCACACAAGTTACTTCCATTATTGCCAAGGTCCTTCAGACATGTTTTTGTAGCAGATCATTTAGTGATTATGTCCGGATTACAACCGCAAAAGAAGAACTAATCCTCAACCTTCTATCTCAACGATACCAAAAAGAGATAGACAACGAATCTGTTATCACCCTTACCCCTTCAAGAAAATTGTTATCAATCCCCTCTAGCTCAGATTAAATTCTGACAATTTGATTAAAATTCGGCTTTCAAGGCCGTCCTATCATAACCTCTATATCTAATGTTTGTGACCAATTAGTTTGGGTATATTTGTTTATTTGATAACATTGTTTTGGTAGTTTTATAAATAGGAGACCCAAGAGCAAGTCAATTTTTGTTCCATTGCTATTAGCGAACTTCTTATAAGGAATCAACTATTTTAGTAGGTCTCGCGGTAAGACATACTATATCAGAGACCGATTCACATTTTAGATTTGATATCCCCCACTTCATTTTATATTAAACGTATTTAATAATGTTTAAATGTAAGTGGATGTACTTACCTTAATATTTCTTTCCTTGTGAAAAATGTACAGTCCTGAACAAATTTGAGCGTGTGGCATTATAACATTTTAGTATTAAGACAAATCATGTGTTAAACTTTTAGTACCTCTAAATTTAAATAAAGTCTATGAAACTGTATAATTTTCTAAGTAAGGCCTTACAAAATGCCCTTTAATAATATTTTAACCTTAAAAAGCCTTAAAACTATTTATGTATCTCTTATGTCTACATAGATTATGTGGGTCATATTTTGAGATAGTTAATTAAGTTTATAGGTTAATTGAAATTCTACGTTGGCAACCCTGCAGGGTCAACAATGCTTGGTTTAACAGCTGATAGCTGGCGTTTGAACTGTGTGTATTTGCCAGGTGGCAAGTTTCCATCTATGACGTACATTGTTGTCCCGACTAGATAAACCTTGTATAACTTTCAATGATAATTTCTTTTAAAAATAACTGCAGTATTTATAACAGATAAAAATAGTTTATTTTAAAATTTTCCCTTTCAGTGATTTGTAATCTGTTTATTTCCACTGGAATGTGTAACCAGTAATTAGGTTAAAAATTATGTGCATTTTCTTGAATCCATTATTTTGTAAAATATTGTTGCTAAAGTTTTTTTTTTTTTTATAAAAGTTACCTTACAGTGACTTCAAATATATTAATATTACTCATTAATGATACAAAAAAACATTCATGAGGATCTTAAGTAGCTTTTTGAAGGGGACTTAGTTAGTTTATAACATAATTAATTTGATAAAGGTATTATGAGTTGTACCCTCAATCGGTTTTGTAACCTAGCCTTCGGAGTTCCCATATGAGTGACTGTGATTTCGCGACCTCCTCTGCAAAGATTGCAAGGAAATGATGAATTATGGGAGTCCCAAATGCATTGTTATGTTAGATCTGCCATCGGTGGTGCGCAATTAGTTTCGCCAAATTATGTGTGAAAGGCTTCGATGCGCGGATGTTCCATGTTGGAACGCGGACTTGAGTTATGGGGTCCGAGTGTGATTACTCACTTATTTAGGTATTGACAATTTTGTTTTATCTTTCTTTTCATTTCAGTTTTATTTTCTAGCAGAAGTGTAATATAATTTAATCTACTTCTTGCGTTCGTTCTTCCAATCTCGTTAACTTTGTTTTCTGTTTTACTTTCTCCCCTTAGTATATGGAAAAGTATTTTTTGTCAAAATTGTCAAGTTTGAATTTTGATATCCATTTTGGGCGTCATTGAACGTAAAAAGGGTGGTTTACAATGTGATGTCCGTGTGCGAGTTAGAAATTTGGTATGTGTACTAATCCATGGTATTCCCAGGTGTTGTTTTTCATATTTTTTATTTTTCAATTCCATATAGGGGTTCTTGGGTAAAACCCCATAATATAAGGGAAAAACAGGATGTTCAAAACACGGCCTGAACCATTTTGTTTAAAATTTAGTGTGTTATAGCCATTTTAGATCTTAACACAATTATTCAGTCCCTATTGCTATAAAAATTTGGATTCATAAGTTTTTGCAACTCATGCGATTTTCCTATAAAACTCCATACAATTACGGGAAATAAAAGTATTAACTGCTGTTTTCGTAACAGCTCAAACGAGTTACAGTATTTAAAAAAATTCAGGTTGATACCCAGTTGAAATGAGATGGTAACGATACCGTTTCTGTAAAAGAGCAATCTAGAGGCTAGGTTTTGGTATAAACACGAAGGTGTATGCTGGTGGCGATCGATGTAAAACCATACATTAAAGAGAGTAGAAGTGAGTAGGTATACTATCCTTTTAGTCTATGGTAAAACGTATCCTAATGTAAGAGCAATTATTACGACATCTGTGCACTCTAGCGCAACCAACCATGAAACACGTATAAAAACGAGCTTAAAGTGTTACAATAATTGAATCAGAAGACTATTACAGTCCTAAGTAAATGCTAATTTAATTCTAGGGTTCGGATTTCTTTTATAACATGTAACAATGTAGGTAAATTATAATTTAATCTTGACGTACTTTCGTTAAGGTAATCGGGTGATAACTAACCGTAATGTGACATTTTTTATCAAACCGCTTTAATAAATAAAAACTTTACACTGCTTCCCCATTACAATATTAAACATATTCGTGATATTATTTTTTTGTGAAGCTATACTTAACAGGCAACGTGTATTACCACCGAAAACGTACTTTTCTGTGGGATTACCTGGGTACACCTAAAAAATAAAAAGTTAAATTTTGAGTAACTGGGTTATATTATTTTAGCAGTATAATGAGCTAATTGTTCATTCCAAAAACATTGAGTTTGCCAATAGTCCCCAATGTATTATTTTCTGATGGTGCATTGCATCTCTAATATCTCTAAATATATTTTTTCCAAAATGGAGGACATGGTAACCCAACTTTATTACTTCTGGGGGACTGAAATAAATCGACGGCAAAAGCAATGACTATTTTGACCTCAACACTTTTAAATCTAGTTAAAAGTTCCGGGTGTTTTTTCTTTCTCCTCTCGAAAGCGGTAACAGTGAAAAATGTTTTCCTATGGTGTTTACACTTTACTTAAAAGTATTGTTTTTTTATGTTTTGCCAATGGTAGGTTACGTACACGTGGGCTGGGTGGGCGATGGATAAATACTATAAGGTAAGGATATTTTAATGAGATATGTTTTAAGATACTTTAGTTTTGCACTACCTCGAAAACTAGATGAACAAATCCATCAAATTACAGTATCGATATAATGTCCCTACCAAGTTTATTACGTAACCTAAAAAGACATATTACCAACAAACACGCTAACGTGACATACACTTAGAATTCATATTATTATTTATGACTAGCTGTGTACCCGTTCTACGCACGGGGATCTTATAATATTCAGTTGAAACCTTCTTATATAACGAACAGCAGTTGGTTTGCATATTTTAAGATATGCTGGCCAAACTATTATACATAGCTTCATTTTATGTTGTTTTTTGTTGTTCCGGATCGGTATGACAATCAATAAAAGGTTAAATTACCTCTGTGTCTGCCGGTCGATCCTATAACGGTAGGCTTACTTTTATTTTTACTATCTGATCTCGTTTGCATGGCTCAATCACGTCCTGGTTGAAGTTCGTTCGCTACGCTCACTCACCTGTATGTTGGAGCTCGTTCGCTGCGCTCACTTTCCTTCAGGTTAGCTCGTTCGCTACGCTCACTTGCCTTCAGGTTAGCTCGTTCGCTACGCTCACTCGCCTCCAGGTTGCAAATTAGCTGTTGTCATAAATGTAAAAGAAATAATAGTGCTAGTGCTGCACCCTGTTGGTAATCCTTGTAACTTTAATGCTATTGAACATCACAGAACAGAACCAACTTGTTTAATTGAAACAGCTGTTAAGATTCAATAATTTCATTTCTCATAAGGTTAACATGGGCTTCCAGAAATTCCACGTCAAAAATCGACAAAAACTTGATTTTCAAGGGTTTACTGTTAAATATCTAACTGTCTCATATTCGATGAAATACGTCTAAAACCATCTCATATATGTATAGTATTTGGAAAATAAGTTTCAGGCGGGACAGTGCTATAGTTATTGAGGAGTAGTTGTAATAAAGTGCGTATTTTAGCGTTACCAAGAGAATGACAGATAGACAGACAGACAGACAGACAGACAGACAGACAGAAATTGAGATAAGGTTTGATTCGGTTTCTCTGACCTATGAAATGTAAAAATAACCAAAAAGTTCATTATTCTAAGCAATGTACAGACAAAACTCTAATTTTATTTATATAGATTAATCCCTAAAGTGAATCTAACATTGAGTAATCAAGGACATTTTATAATTTATTTAAATATTTGTTGAGTAATATTAAGCAATGGGCACTTTGTTCATGATGTGAACTTCCCAATAGGTAAATGAGGAATTAGCTATTATCGTAGCATTCACAGGGCGGTAACAGCACTTTTCTTTAATTTCACAATCCCTGGAAGCAAAAAGTGCCAGTAAATCAAATTTACATAGACAAAATTATGCGCAATAACACTCTTTAAAATTTTTAAACGCAGATTAAATAGCTGCAAACAGTATAAAATGAGGACACTTTTGGATTTTTCTCTTCCTACATGTTGAGTATATTATATACAAATGCAGGGGATACAAATGTGTCTTATATATCTAATAACAAAAATAATCAAAGTATTATTTTGTTGTTGCCTTATTTTTCTTATAAGTTGTTGTGTTTTTGTTATGTTGTTACTTTATTATGATTTCGTGTTATTGTGATACTATTTGTATCTTATTGAATTATTATGTGATGTTACTGTCATACTAAAACTGTACACAGTCATTGAATGTGTCCATACTGATATGTATACAGTTATAGTGACGTAGGGTATCAGCTGAGTGGTTATAGTGCTCGCCTAAAAATCAAAAGGACGCCGGATCGATTCTGAGAAAAATCAGTAGCTTTTTGATGGTTTGTAACTGGACCCAGCTGTCCTTGGTCGTTGGGATTTAAATCAAATATCCTGTCTAATGAAACAGCTGATCTTAATCAGTATCACTACATAGATAATCACACTCCATTATCCCATTGACTATTTGATACTGAAGTTGTATTAATAGTTAAAGATTATATACTCATCCTTCACTCATATTTAGGTTTAAATACACACATAGGTGGCGTCCCTATCTCAATAATCGATATAAAAATTTATACGTTACAGTGTGGTCGCGTTATTGTTTATAACTGGCATTATTGTTATTGTCCATTACTGTAGAGGTGTTATTATTATTTGCTGAGGTTTTATTATTTTTGTATAGGGTTTGTCATGCAATTCCGTCGTTTTATATTATTTCAACCTTATTTCTATTTCATTGCAATGTATTGTAATTTTACCGCTGTATCGCTATTTTATTGTTAAACTGGTGATGTTCCCTACCTGATAGTTGTCCAGTTGCTCCTCTGTGAAGGTGACCACCTTGTTCCCCATGGCCAGGTCACAGGTCACTGATGACCTCAGGTAGGGTGTGCCTCACTAAGGGCGTGGCGCTCTCTACATTGATCACCAGCTCTTACAACAATGTAACCTCCTAGAACCATCCCTTATTTGCTTCTATCATTGAATTTAAGATACCATAGGAGACATACTATCTATATAGACAAACTGGTACAGTTTTTAAAATATCCCTGGCGCAGCAAACCTACGGGCTAAGCGAATTTCCGTTTGCCTGATTGGATTTTTGCTTAAATATTTCTTTAAACCCGTCGGATTTATTCCTACTAATTTTGTAACTAAATGTTCGAAATAACATTAGGTTTAACGAGTTATTAGCTGGTACAGGGAGGGTACTACAGTGTGTTTATTAGTAATATGTTTATAGCTTAGTGGAAAATTAAAAAAATACCCCATAAAACACTGTTCTCATGTAAAAATTAACGCCTTTACATAGACGTACAAAACAAACTAAATGGGACTTAACAAAATGACGACATTGGCGCACTATTTGAGAAGCTGATACAACTTAGCTATTTTTTATTACATTGGCTACCGGTGATTCATAATAATATGTCTACTTCAGTATCCAACAACGTTGGTTTGAACGGTTAAAAGATTTGCCAAATGGACTCTAGGCATTTTCTCTAGAGGAAAACGCAAATGACGCAATTTTATACGCAAAAGTTTGCGCAAACATGAGAACTCCGCGACTCTGGCAACAGGAAATCGGCGAATCATCTTCAGTAAATCACAAGACGCGACAAAGCACGAGGAAAAAGTAAATGATATATATGAGTGGACGAACGAAAATGTTTGCGTAGTCTGTGCGGTGGTCTGAGCAGCATGTAGTATCTTTGTATTTTCAGTAACAAGTAACTTTAGTAACAATCGTGCAACCTAATATGTGATACGTACATTTAACCATGGATAAACCAACCCTTAGTAGATTTCACATCCTTACGGATCAGCTGAAGACAATTTTATTATTCGTTCTGTCCGGTGTACTGTAGAGTCATGTTTTGTTTACAATTCGTTTCTTGTTATTTCAGTGATTTACAACTTCGTTTGACCAAATAAAACGATCTAACCCTAAACAACAAATCGTCCCCTAGTTATATAACCAAACAGGAAAGCACAAATCAAGAAATAAACCCTGAAATAATAGAATAAAAATGTCGTCGTCACTAGTGGTCAGTGTCACCGGACATGAACTACACGCGAAAAACGAGCTTCAAAATTTACATTGTGATGAGAAGTCTTGTGTTGGTTAGTGTATGATTTCACTCTTGTATAAAACAAAGCTAGAAGTTAAAACATGGGAAAGTTGATACGGTAAATAAGCCATACTTATGCCCGCTGGGATATGGGCATTGGGCATACCATCCGGGCGCGAACTATTGTTACTATTTCTATCTACTATGGATGTTACAAGTAAACTTTTCATCCTACTTTAACAATTGTGGATTGTTGATGTGCGTTTCGTGCCTGTTTACGTTTAAGCACACTGATAGTTAACTAATAATATACATTTCAGGAATGATTTTACAGCGGGCTTTATTATTACCCGATGACGTGAAAGCACAAACAACGACGAGTAATTTGTGATTTGCAAACGTTTTAAAGTTTGTAAAGTTGCAATATACGAATGGTAGAAATAAAAAAAACAATTGTACAAATGTGGGAAACGTGCTTTAAATTATTATTAGCTGATCCAAAAGGACAATAAATCCATAGAATACAAATGATTATTCCTATTTAAAAAATAAAAAAAAGAAATTGAAGAACATATTTTACTCTACACAAGATATTTGTACTTTAACGTTTTGGAAAGATTACCTTTAGGCTTACGTTTTGAAAAGTATTACAATTTGTAATATAATTATATTGTTATGAAAGGACGCATTTATGTTACAAATTTACTTAAAACCTTTATCAAAATTTAACATTGTCTTTACTCAGTTTATAAGCCAATATTAATCAACTATAACATTTCTTGAGGGACAATAAGTGTGAAAACAGAAGAGATGACATTTTATTGGACATTTCTTTTTTAGAACAGTATATTTAAGCATTACAAGTTGTCACGACTTCCACCTACAGCCAAGGGCGAGTTAGTCTCGTGTGTGACCGCCAATGATGAGTCGGCTCGAGACTGACGTCAGAGACCAATAAACAGATTATGGCAACCAGGTCGGCGCGCTTCCTAGTCTATTTTAGAGGTCTTTGAATCACCTGACAATCGGATATTGCATTAGCGGTTGTGACGTTATGGCGGGAAGCCGTCTAAGTATTGGCGGGTAACCTAACCTAAATGTCAAGTCTTAGTGGCCATATTGCTAGGGGTTGATTATTCATTTTCAATTCGCTTTATAGTGAGATTTACTCGTATACCATAAATTTGTATAAAAATAAAGTAACACAAAGTCCTTGGTCTTCTGGGCACGAAGCCTTACTTCCAAAAATAAAGTAGTCTTAATTTTAGTGAATTTAATATATAGGGAATATGCTAATACCGTAGGTCTCATGGTAAGACCTGACCTACACCCGGGAACACTAGAATTTTTGGTTTTGAGATCCCCAGGGACCAAACTCAATCGGTATAAATGCAACCAACTTGTCTTAAGAAACTATGAATGGGCTCTCCAGTTGGTACTTCAACCAAGTTCCCCCCAGGTTTTAATTTAAGACAGTAAAAAAAATATTCAATTTAGCTGATATTTAATTTATGTTTTGGTCTGTCTTTAATTTTCTCTCTGGTCTGTCATCAACCACATGTACTCATTCAAAATTCAGTTATTTGTAAATTGTTTACTCTCATTTTTATTTTGTTAATTTTTCCGAGTTCATTTTTTTTCTCTTTGTTGAAAACGTTGGTAGCCTATAATAAACGGAAATTAGCACTGTTCATATTTCGTTTTCGTGCATCGTTTTCTACGAATGTAGAAGAATTGTATATACATAATAGTCTATATTTATTCCCCTGGTGAAATAGTAATCTAAACTCCAAACCAAACTGAAACCTATTTTAGATCTGTCATCTGGTATAGGATTACTAATCTTAAAGTAAGAATCATTTGATTTCGGCCAAAACTAACAAGAAATCGAGCGTAGAGCACCAGTGACCACGCGTCTCGGGTTAATTGTTGTCTAGCAGTAAAGATGTTTATTTGCCCTCACAGCTGTTAACAGGTAGCAGTCACAGCTGTTTGCTGAGTTATTGCTTTTAACACCTCGTCACGCGTTAGAAACAGGGTGTAAACCGAAACGATCCGTCACAGCTGTTTTGTTTGGCTTTGACTTGTGGATTTGTGGCAGTGTTAATGCAGATTGGATGCCGTTTTATGCAATTGGTCCCATGTAAGGTAAAAAGATGTTTATAATTGTGGTTAATGGTTAGTTTCAGTTTATTTGATATTTTGCGAGTCTGTCATTGAGGAAGTGCTGAAGGTATTAAGAAGATGATTCGAATTTACTATAGGTCAAATTATAATAATATTAGGTCAGATATATCAAGATAGAACACTAACTTTCTATGCTACGGAAAAAACTAATACATATAAAAAACAATATCTATATCCCAGATGTACAGTATAATCAATGAAATTCTACCAACACACTACCAACATTTCCCCGCTAAATATCCCCAAGAAAGTGAGAGCAGGTCCGCACTGTTGCCAGTTTCCGGTAACCTGTTCTGGTTAAGGCACTGGAGCGGAGAGAAGGGGGCCAAGGCGAGCATGATTGTTGTGCCATTCCCCCCTTGCAGCCCCCCAGTGCCCCCCTGGCAGATAGTGTAACGTTGTGGGAAACACCGCCAACAGGGGGATCCTGATAATCACCACAACATTCTTCAAGGACCTCTGAGTCACCACTGCGTGATCTGGACTTCGCAAATTCCCGTTGATTAACTCTGGCTAATCGCTACTTGTCTAAATGCCGCTTTGCTGAATGTCATATTGCAGAATACTGCGGAATGCCACCCGGCTGAATGTTGTCAACTACCACTTCCACTAGGGTTCACACATTGTTAAATGTCATGACTGAATATTACACTCATGAATACATGGCTGAATATTAACAGCTTTGATTGACGCGTAGCTGAATATTACATTTTTGAATGACACATTCCTGAATATTACTTGTTGAACCTTGAATGTGTTTTCACTGAACAGCATATATCGATTGACACGATACTGAATACCATAGTTTTGAATGTCATATCACTGAATATCATATTGAATGACACATTACTAAAAAATAACATTGTTCAGTGGTACATTACTACCACATTGTAAAATTTCATATTAATCCATACAATATTGTTAAATGGTAAATTACTTAGTATCACTAGTGGCTGAGTGTATGTGAATTGTTGTATGAATTATGGTACATTCGCACTTTTAATTTGAAGTTGTGTACAGAATGAATGCACAGCAGAGTTAGAACAATTACTGAAGTGGTTATCTCAAACGTCTCGTTAATGGAATAATGTATGCAGATGTTATAACCATTAAAATTATATTTTCCATGTAACTGTTGAACAAAATCAGCAACCTATTGCAGCTAAATGTTTTGTTATAATTTTTCAAACATAATTTTCTACACTTTTTACTTTCTAACTTATTATCAACAGCTTTTGTATAGTAAAATAGTTCCTCTATTATTAGTACGTATATGTATACTATAAAACCGGCCTATGTGTTACTTTGCGTAACTTATTATGCAAAGTTCTAATGCTGCATTTTTTGCATGTTTATATTTCTCCTAATCTCGCCCACATTTACATAATTATCCGAGCCAGTAGAGATACCTGGTCTGCAAGGTTGACCCATTTCCCTCAGGGTCGCCACAGCTAATTGTACACAAGTTTGTACGGAGAACGCCCCTCGTACAATGGGCGCCCTACACACGTGGGCGGGGAGCGCCTTGGGCTCACGCCTTCATTAGCGAAAACAGGCACAAGTGGAATTCGAGTGAAGTATGTTGCGCCTGTTG